CTTCCTGAATTGTGGAGCCTAGAATTGAGTGCAGTACTCCAGCTGTGACCTCACCAAGGCTGAGTACAGCAGGAGGATGACATCCTGTGTCTTGTTCAAGATGCATCAGTAGATGCAAGCCAGAGTTTTTTGGTTGCTTTGCCAGCTGCAGTATCACATTGGTGGCTGATGTTTGTCTCGTAGTCAATTATGACCCCCAAGTCTCTTTCGGTTGTGGTGCTAGTGAGTGTAGCATTGCCAAGCCTGTAATTGTGACATGGGTTTTTTTCCCCCCCGCCCCCGAGGTGGAGCACCTTGCAATTCTCCTTGCTGAATGCCATCAGGTTGTGATCCGCACATCTTGCAGGCCTGTAGAGGTTGGCCTGGATCACTAGCCTATCCTCAAGTGTGGATACCGTTCCCCAAAGTTTGGTGTCATCTGTGAACTTGGCCAGTCCGCTTCTGACACCAGAGTCCAGATCGTTTATGAAGACATTAAAGAGTACAGGTCTGAGAACAGAGCCTTGGAGGACACCACTGGTCACTGAGTGCCGTGTTGATTCAGTTCCGTCAACTACCACCCTCTGGGTCCGACCTTGGAGCCAGGTCCCCAGCCGTGCGACTGGTGTAATTGAGGCCACAGTTGCCCAATTTTTCCATGAGGACATTGTGGGACACCAAGTCAAAGGCTTTTTTTAAAGTCCAAATATATGATATCAATCTCTTCCCTTTTGTCCAGGTGATACGTCACCTGGTCACAGAAGGAAATGAGATTGGTCAGGCAAGACCTACCCACAACAAACCCATGCTGGCGGTCCCTCAGGATGTTGCCTTCTGTTAGCCTGTCAAGAATGGTTTCTTTGATATATTTTTCCAAGATCTTCCCAGGGATTGAGGTCAAACTGATTGGCCTGTAGTTTCCCAGGTCATCTTTCCTCCCTTTCCTGAAGATAGGCACCACAATGGCCCTCTTCCAATCTTCCGGTACTTTGCCCGAGCGCCACGAGTTCTCAAATATCCTTGCCAGTGGCTGTGCTATGATGTCTGCCAGTTCCTTTAGCACTCTTGGGTGCAATCTATCCAGACCAGCTGATGCAAATAATTTGATTGCAAGGTAATGACTTAATAGCTACTTGCTTCAGTT